TCTTCAATATTTCTAACTCTTTTCTGAATTCATTCAGAAGTTTATCCCTATCTTCCTTCAGTTCTTTGATTTCTTTGTGTTCTTTAAATTCACAGAATTCTTTTACCATATTTAAAATTGTTCTTTTGAGTTCCATGTCCTGCATTATCTCTAGTTGGTTCTCACTGTACTCCTCTAGAGGACTATTGGTATTTGGTGGGGATATGTTATTTTGGTTTTTCATGTTATTATTTTTTCTCTGTGATTTCGACATGTGGATTTCTTTTGTAGTTTATGATTCTTGTTTGAGACTCAAGCCTTCAAGCTTAGGTCTGCTTTTTTTTGTGTGTGAACTTTATATGTCTTTTTGGTTTACTTTTTGGGCCTGAAAAGCTGGTTCATCTAAGCTTCCGGTTATCTCTTTTGATTTTATATTGGAGTGGTGGGATTGCTTTTGTCTTCAGGAGTTCCCACAGAGGCCCAAGTCAGATGAGGATCAGATGCTCTCAGGTTTTCTCCTAAGGTCTGGATCCCTCCAGGAAAGATTTTGGCCTCAGGAATTTGGGGGTTGGACTGGCCTGGGAGCCTGGCCTAGGAAAGATGCTGGTCTAGGGCAGCTGGTGGCCCTGCCATCCAGAGATGCAAAGGCAGATGGGGTGGGAAGCGTCCCCAAGGGCTCCTGGGGACTGCACTGAGGAGCTGGGTTGGTCTGGATGCAAAGGATCAGGAAGAGGAAAGGTCAGCCCCTGCATCCAAGAAAGAGGCTGGTGGGTTGTGCAGACCCAGAGAGCACAGGGAGGTGAGGGTGGGGTCAGGCCCAGAAGCAGTGTTCTTGGGGACCAAAGAAGGCACTGAGTTGGTCTGGATGAAAAGGATCAGGAAGCAGTAGTGGTTGTTCCTCAGGTATCTGGTGCACCCAGACATGAATGGGACAGGACCCAGGCTAGGAGGAGAGACCTGCCAGGGAGATGGGAGGGTGAATGAGGCTGGGGGAGTCAAGGTGAGGAGGGCGCGATGGACTCACCTTGAAGGGAGGCCTGTGGGTTGGAGCGATTCTTTTTAATAGTAAACTCCCAGAACTCTTACTGCTTTCTATCTTAAGATAAAAAATAAGTGTGAAATACTTGAGGTTAGTAGATAAACTTAGATAAATCCTAAAGTCATTTGATTTAAAAAAAATGTATTTATTATTTTTATTTTATGTGTATGAATGTATTGCCTGCATGTATGGGTATGCACCTGTGTCGTGCAATGCTGTAGTCAGAAGAGGGCTTTGGACTCCCCTGGAACTGGAGTTAAGGATGGTTCATAGCCACCATGTGGGTGCTGAGAATTGAACCCGGGTCCTCTGGAAGAGCAGTCAGTGCTCTTAAACACTGAGCCATCTCTCCAGCCCCAAGTGATTTTATTTTTATACCATGTAGGAGAGAAATTTACTAATATGGCAAAATAGCCATATTTCAGTTCATAATTTGCTTAAATTATATAAAAAATACAAGATTTCTGACCTTTTGGGGTTCATGCAGATGTGGACAAATTTCTCCTAGTGTTTTATCTCAACATATGTGAATACTGATAATATCATATAAATATATGCGTACATCCATATAATTAAGGTCTGACAGGAAAATTAACATAAAAATGAAGTGGTTTTGTTTTTTCAATTTGTTGTTTAATATCTGCTCATATGGAACTTTAATCTGTAACCATCTGCTGAGAAACTTTTCTGTGTGTATGGGGGAGGTATTCTGTAATCCCAGTACTCTAGAGGTTATGTCAGGAGGATCTCAAATTCGAGGGCAGCTTAGGCTTTCTCAAAAAAAACAGATAAATAAAACAAAACAAGGTAGAAATGACAGTGTATTGATGACAAAAGAGAAAATGATGATCATGTGGTTAAACTGTTTCTCAGAAGTGACTGGAGATGGGATGCAGCTCAGTGGTAGAGCACATGTCTAGTCTGCATTAAAACCTTCAGTTCAATCCCCAGCATCAAGAAAAAACAGTGATTGACTCTTCGTCTCTGTAACATGGAATGGTGGTTGATGAGTTCTCACTCTCTCACTGGTTGGCCTGCAGACCTTTAGTATTTTCCTCATAAAATCTGTGGTGCACATTGCCTTGGTGTGTTCCCGCTGCTGTAACAAAACACTTTAGTCTGGGTAATTTATTCAAACAACACAAAAATACTACTATCAGCTCCAAAGACTGAGATGTTCAAGATCAAGGTACCAGCCTACTTGGAGTCTAGTGAGGACCCATTCCTTATGAATGGCACCATGTTATCATGTCCTCATGAGATGGAAAGGGAGGAAAGGGACAAATAGCTCTTTTAGAAGAGCACCAATCCCATTCATGGAGGTTTAGTTCTCACAATCTAACTCCTGCTTTCTAACACTATTGCACTGGGGATTATGTTTCAGGGAATTTTGGAGGGATATAAACATTCTAACCACAGTAGACATTGACTGTGTCTTGAGATCCTTCCATTTTTCATTTGGACTAGTACCTCCAACTTGAATGAACTGGAAGGTGCCATCTTTTTGACCACAGCCACTGGCATAGGTGTGGACACTTGATCCATGCTGCCAATAACAGCATCCCCTCTGGCTCAGTGTGTGGTAGAGCTGTGAGTTGTGGATCCTGGGATGATGGTGCCAAGTCCTCTGCCACTGGCAAAGTGAAGTGTCAAGGCTGGTGTTCAGAGACAGGGAGGGGAGGAGAGTAGAGATGTTTCAGTTCCTGGTTCCAGCCCCATTCAGGAAATAGTTTAAACGAACACCACCTTTTCCCTAAGCTAGTTAGGATACTTTTTTCTCCTCTTTCCTTTTCTTAAGAAAATAAATTTATTGAGAATTTCATACAGGGATATAAACATATAAGGTGTTTTGATCAAATCCATGTGTACTCCCTCCCCTCCAACTCCTCCCATATCTCCCCATCACTTTTTCTTCCTTCTTTTTATGGGGATTTTTGCTACTCTAACATTTTCCCCTCTGAAGAGGTAACCCTAAAATCTTTTAAGGATTAAATAAGAGCTCCTACATACTTTCAACATTTTTTGGCCTTTGGAATGGAGTATGTTGCTAGGAGGCCCAAGGACATTTTAACTTTTAGCCAAGAAGCTGGCTACTTTTCTTTGGGGTCTTTTTTTGCAGTCCACACAGTTTATTCAGCAGTGTAACAGGAGAGTCCCTCCACCATTATGGACATAAGGCAGGTATGAGTGGATCGTAATACATTCTTTATACAAACAAAACTTGAGGTTTCACATGTGGAAAGTAGGATTTCTTGCCTATCAGCAGCCATTAATTCATTTCCTTACTTCCACCTCCCTGAAAAGACCCCGGTTTTGTCAGTGGAAGCAATGTGCCCATCAGGGAAAGGCCAACTCTTCTCCTTTGCCAAGCTTGTCTCACTCTTGTGTGAGAACCAGCTGATGAGGTGCTTTAAGAAAACTGCTGAGACTTTTCAGAAAGATTTTATTCCAAAATAAGACTTGAAGGTAGAAGGCCTCTTGCTCCCTACTTCTGACCTTTGTTTGCAATTGAAATGTCTCATACAACAACAGATTATATTTTACTCACTGAGGAAACAATCACAAGGACAAAAAGGGCAAAAATTATAAGGACCCCAGGGGAGAAAGGACAAAGACCCGGCTCCTGGATAATATTGTTCATTGCTACACAAGCACAGATAACCTAGAATCTTTTATTTCTTTTATTTATTTTTATGTGTTTTGCCTACATGTAAGTGCAACAAGTGTGTGCAATGCCCATGGAGGCCAGAAGAGGACCTGGACTGGAGTTACTGATGGTTGTGAGCTACCATGTGTGTGCTGGGAACCAAACCCAGGGCCTCTGCAAGAGCAGCCAGTGCTCTTAACTGCTGAGCCATCTCTCCTGCCCAAATAATCTAGAATCTTAAATGGAACTTTTAAATTGCTTAGTGCCTTCTGAGAATAGCTTCTCCAAGTTGCCTAACTCCAAATCTGAGTCCATGGTGTCCATGAAAAAGAGAAGGCATGAATATAGTGAACATTCAGCAAGACATTCTTCTAAGACAAAAGCTTCCACTAGACTGTTCATAAATTACATGGAGTTAAGCTTTATCATTTGTCATAAACTTCATAGTACAGCTATTTTTCCATTTCCAGGGGTGGACACTGTTAAGTTCAGTCACCACTAGACAGGACAGTCTTTCGTTATGTAGACAAGTAAGTGTAAATTGGCAGCATTTGCAACATTTTTGTGTAACCTATGTAAGTGTTGTCAAACAGAATGTGACAGCAACCAGTTATCACTATTGTAACAGTCACACTGTAAACCGAACAGGGCCAATGAGGAATGGCTAACATATGAATAAATTTTATATACACACAACATCTCTCATAATCACTGGCTAATGTATAAGGAGAAATTTAGAATAATGTAGTATATTAAAATTTATTAGAATAATCTAGAATCCAGCTGCAAGGATGCTTTCTCACCGAAGTACTGTTAGAAAAACAGTTGATGGGGCATATAGCATGGGGCCTCCCCTCCAGAACCACATCATCATATGTCAATACTTAGGCTATGGCACTTTTCAGGAGGGGTCAGCAAGTTCTAAAACATTTATAGGAATTACAGATTAGTCTGATTCTAGATAAATAATCTGGCTGGGATACTGACTACATTTATGCTGAACAAAATATGCATAGACACAGAAGCATACCCAACAATTTAAGAGGTTCGCAAAATGATAGTCTGGGGGATCCGAATTAGAAATGAAGGCCTGGGGTTTAGCTCAGTCAGTGGCAGAGTTGCCTAGCATGCACAAGGGACCCTAACTCCCAGCACCTTACCAAAAAAGAAAAAGAAAAAAAGAAGAAAAATAATGGGAAAGCCAAAACAGATATGAGTGATTATTCATTTTCCCTGGGCTATTAACACAAAATTCTCTAAAGTCTCCATGATTTTGACTGTTACAGAGGTTACTTGCTTTGGCCAAGTTTTTGTTTAAGGTTTTGTCTGTTCTGGTCAAGATTAATTGCAATGCAGGATTAAAACCAGCTACTCTGGAGTCATGTATCCTTTTTCTAACCAGTGCAGGACCTAGAAGAAATGGATGGCAAGCTTTTTCAAAGGTCCACCTTGTGAGATTTTGAGGTGTCCACTCAAGTGGGAAAGACCAAGGCAGAACAATGCTTCTATTAGCAGGATTATCAGGATAACATTCAGGGCTATAATGAGCTCTGTTAATGTAGTCTAAGAATACTTGGTAATACTCATTTTCAATAAGTTCAGTTTGGTATAACCAATGCCCTAGTTCTAAACTAGGGAACCACTGTTGCCCACAATCAGGACAATGTGAATTATGGGAGAACATTTGGGCTTAGAAAGACAAGAGAAAGAGCAAGGAATGTAACAGGAAGAAGCAACAATGGCAAAGAGGGAAAGTGAAATAATCAATCCTGTTCCAGGTTTTGTTTAGCAGCTTCTCAGTTCAACCAACATTACTTGAAGAGTGTTAAATTTGGCTTGCACGTTAGTGCAATTCTTCAAGATTTCGTTGTCTATTTTTCACTCAATTGCAACTTAGTCTCTGAACTCAGGGGCCAGTCCAGTCTACAATTTTACCAGTCATTTACTAGCAGCACAGATCTCACAATAGTTCCTTCAGTTCCCAGCTTCTCAAGGGAAGACAGGGCTCTAGGCTGACTTGATTATCTTGCCTTGTGCAGTATCAGCTGCTGATGGTGTCACACAGAGGCACTTGGCTTACTCTGCTTTGTTGTTAAAGTTATTATGCTTGGTGAAACAGAGGAGCTGATGGGTCCAATGAGTCTGTTGTTGGCGCTGGCACTCTTGCTGTTGTAATACACGTACCCAAGTCTTAAGGCCTTGGCACTTCACAGCGATGTAGTGGGGACAGGAAAACTGGTAGAGTCCTCTTGAGTGTGGATCCAATGAAGTTAGTCTTAGAAGGACCTTGATCGTGTTTTCTGTTTGTGCCATAGGGAGGTGGAGGTGGGGGTGGGGAGGGATCATTTTCCAAAGACAGATTCCAGCTGTTTTTTAAATTGTGGTACTGTCTGGATGAGGGGAGACCCTTGGGTGTTCCTCCTGCTCCACAGCACACCCCCTCAAGCTGCCATGGCAGAATCTCTTTGGGGTCTTTTTCTAACTTCCTAGCCAATTATTACGTCCTATTCTTATCACACCATCCTCTGAAGATGTTGCCCAGCTTGTGGATAGGGAATCGGGATGCAGACCGCTCTGGCTTCTTCCATGCTGAACAGGACGCAGGGTGAGGCAATTGGAGTGCCCCTTCAATGGGTCTATCTAAAAGACTCCCAAATTGCATAACTCTTATCTGTAGGGGGAAAAGAAAGTCCTTGACTAGTGAATAGGTGATGTGAAGGAGAAGTAAAGGCAAGAGTAGTTAGCATTGCAAGTTCCAGACAGGGAACTAGAAAAAATTCAGAACAGGGCAAATTTCAAATGTGCATATGAGAGTCCATTGGAATTTCTTGACGAGCTTCTGAAAGCATCCCTCTATTGGGTTCCTCCTCATTTTTCTTTTGTCTGTCAAGGCTGGGCTCCAGAGTGATGGATTCAGGATTTGCTTTCAGGCATTCTGATAGCAGTTGGAGTGGCTAGAATCAGTGTCAGTTTCCTCTCAAAGGCTTCTAGATAGGGGGAGAAAACAAATTTGGCCATCATTTTAGAACAATAGCAGGTTGTCTCCTTTAGCTACAGGTGGGGACTACAGTATTGCAGACCAAGATTTGAAGTCTTACATCTGAGCAGCACTTTCTGATTCAGAACAAAATCATCAATGAGCAATAATTGTCTAAATAACTTTTTATATGGACTTAAGCCTAATGTCTGAGAAATGTAATCCCTTGAACTCTTAAAGATGTGCTGATGACTTCACTCTTTGGTTATACTTTCCTTTTGGGTGTTTAAGACCATACAGTTGGCCCAAATAAATCAATTTAGTTTTACTCTTCAGATCGTTGGAGGATCTGTTCCTTAGAGGTCACATGGCCTTGGGAGGAGCCCCTGGTTCCTTCCTTTTACCAGTTCCACCTATGTGAAGATAAGTCAAAGGCTCTACTCGATCATGGCTGGCTTCACTTGGAAGCATGGAGGAAATGTTTCCTCTGAGTTGACCCTCCTCTTTGTAGACTGGACTCTGGTTTAAGTCCATCTGGTGGGGTCTCTATGGCCTCCCTGAACAAGCAGACAGGTGACTCACTACAGTTACAGGACATTGTGAGAGATGCTCCATAGTCCCCTGGAATTTAGTGGACCTTGGAGGGCAAGGGGCAAAAGCTGTCCTTTAAGTCCCTCTGACCAGAGTAGTATAGACCTCAAAGTATGGCTGTTAAACATAGGATACTTTTTTCATATGCAACATGAAGAATCTATAGAGGAAGGTCCAGTCATAGGCGGGATTTCATGAATTTTGGTAGACTTTGGTAGGTGTTTTGGTGTGTACATGTGTGTTCATACTTGTGTAAATGTGTGTATATGTGTGCGTGTGTGTGTGTGATCAACCTCAGGTCTTTGTACAGACTTTTGTTTCACCAACGTTTTGCCATCCCTGTGTACTTGATATCTTCCTCCAGATGCGCCCTGATCCACCAGCTTGGGCAATCTGGGTTTCTCTTCTTTTGCTCACATAAAGCATTTTTCTCTTAAGAAAAATGCTGGTTGCTGAGGACTTTCCCTATTCCTCAAACAAACTTAAGCCTGGACAATTTGTTTCTATATCAAAAGAGCTTGCAACAGTTTCTAATAAAGACAATGCTCTCCCTGCAAAAAATTTTGTCCAGACTCGTGAGAGAATACAATTTTCTTCATATTGGAATACCCGCAGTGTTTTTAGATCATTTTCCTCATTAACCAAGCAGTCTTCTGACATTTTCAAGGCTCTATCTCAGCACCTTTTATTCTAAATAGCCAATTTATAGCCATTACTTTCCTTTTCTACCCAATTTCCCAGGCAAACTTAGACATACCTCTTATCAGATTCTTCCACTTACTTTCAAAGCTGACTAATATAATCTAAATCCTCTTTTATATTCATTGAAGACTTTTGGAAATTCTGTTGCTTCCACATATTTTATGATTTAGTTGAATGAAGTGTTTGAAACAACTTGTGATCTTGCTCAAAACAAATGCACAGAGCATGTTTAGCAGTTCTCCCCTGCCTTTCACTGTTCCTCACTCTCCCCAGCTCTTCTTGGCTACTGCTTTGCCATGGAAATGGAAGTGTCTGAGATGGCAGGAGACTAGAATTGACAAGACTTTCTTAGATTATTTCGATGTTACTGAGAAGGAGAAATCTGGAGGAAGCTGATTAGTAGAGTTTCAACACTGGCACAGTTCTCCCTCTGAAGGTTCAGTATGAATATATAAAGATATAGGTGTAGGGTTTAAAGAGGATTCTCTGCATTTTCAGTAAACGAAGCATTGATATTTCCTCAATTTTTCTTGACTGTATTGGATAAAATATGGCCAGAGTAACAGTGTGAGATGATGGATATGTTCCTTTATTTTGCTATAGTAGCCATCTGACAATACATATCTTGTAACATCATGGAATATATACAATTATTAATTAAATATATACAATAAAATTTATTTTCAGAATGCTAGACTTGGTGGTGTGTGCCTTTAATCCCATCCCTTGGTAGGCAGAGGCAGGTAGATCGCTGTGAGATGGAGGCCAGCCTGGTCCACAGAGTGAGTTCCAGGTGGGCTGGGACTAGGGAGACCCTGTCAAAAACAACAACAAAAAACCAAAAACAAACAACCCCCCCAAACCCCCCTTATTTTCAGAAGCAAACCCAAAAGGGCCATTAATTCTTTGTAGCTCCTCCCAGGAAGACTTGGAGTCTCCTTGTCCTACCCTCTAATCTGAGCTGGCTTTGGTCTTGCAGTGGAAGTGATATATGATTTCTCAACATGTCGCAACAGATCTTGTAGTTTTTGCTAATTCCTGCTTAGAATGTTTTCTTACCATGCTCAGTCCTGGGGAGCTCCTGCCAGAAAGACTATGTGGAAGAGGACTGAGCAGCCTCAGTCAACAGCTCTGCTTACTCACAAGGCATATGAGTGAAGTCAAATGAACTGGCAGAAGAGAGTTGCCACAGAAGTGACCTTTTGAGTGATCATCTGACGAACTCCTCATTGAACTTGGCCCAAATCCCAGCATCATAAACACAATATCTCTTCTACTTATATACATGAGAAAGGGAAGATGGATGATCGAGGGCAGAGGGCGACCATGTTAAGAACAATGCTCTATGGTAGGAAAGAGAAGGTAAAGAGATCTAGTCTAGAAAGGATCTAGGCACATGGGGAGTTTCCCCTCTGTAATAGCAGGGAAAGCAGCATCAAGGGGTATTGTTCTCTGTGGTCTGGAGAATAATCTACAATAGCCCTACTTTTGGTTTCAAGTGAATTTACTAAGCATGTTGCAACCCAAATTAAAAGAACAAATAGCAAGGAACAGATAGCTAGAAGTAGCAAATAGATAGCAAAATGTCATCAAATCAGGCATTTACCAAATCCAACAGACAACTGGAGTGGTCTGATAGAAAGAGCAAACAAAGATAATATCATCAAGTAGAGGCCCACGACGTTCAGCAGAGGTCAGCTGCTGAAGCAGCCTTCAGGCAGTCAGCTGGAGTTCCTGACTGACAGGTTTAGGATTTCCATTTCCATGGCAGTTTATGCAGCAGTAGGGTAAACAACAGTGACACGTATTAGAAATAGTTTACCTTCTAGCTGTCCTCAAGGACATGGGATTATTAATACCCTTAGCTGCCTTTCCCTCTCCATTACAGAGCCAGGGGTCAGCCTGACCCAGGACAAAAGTTTTGGGAAGATACTTCACAAAAACATGCTTGAGTCTGAGATAAGGGAGCACCTCATTGGTCCCAGAATTCATTTTCAACAAGCTTAAATAGCCATATGACAATCTGCCAATATAACGTATATTACAGGCATTCTTTAAGATGGGAGGGTATATTTAGTGGCAAATCTTTTTCTGATTGCTTCAGTTTTTTTTTTTTTTAGTGCAGAGATACAAAGGTGTTAGGGACTTGTAGGGTTGGAGACTACAGGAGAAGAGAAAGTCATGTGAACAGTGGGAAACTAGTTGAGCAGGATTACAGGAAAGAACCAGAGGTCCCTGGAGGTTGAAGTTTTCAGTTGTCAACTGTATGCTTTTCTCCAGTCACAATTATATTTTTGGGTACAGGAGTGACATAGGTAGAAGGCTGGATTTAACCATGACTGAGAATGTAAAGTGTGACAGTTTTAGAGGATCAAGATAACTGAGAATATATGCAAGCAAGCAGTTGTAATAGA